TATCAAATTAATAAGTCACACCATGAAGGTCTGGGAGCGGGTGATCGAGGCGAGGGTGAGGGATATGACATCTATATCTGTGAACCAGTTCGGTTTCATGCCGGGTCGCTCCACTACAGAAGCTATCCACCTTATCAGGCGGATGGTGGAGCAGTTCAGGGATAAGAAGAAGGACCTGCACATGGTGCTTATCGACTTGGAGAAGGCGTATGACAAGGTCCCAAGGGAGGTGCTATGGAGGTGGTTGGAGGCGAAGAGCGTGCCGGAGGCCTACATCAGAGTAATCAAGGACATGTACGATGGAGCTAAGACTAGGGTTCGGACGGTGGGTGGCGACTCGGACCATTTTCCAGTGGTTATGGGGCTCCATCAAGGATCGGCGCTTAGCCCTCTCTTGTTTGCCTTGGTGATGGATGCTCTAACCCGACATATTCAAGGGGATGTGCCTTGGTGTATGTTATTTGCTGATGACATAGTCTTGATAGACGAGACGAGGGCCGGCGTTAATGAGAGGTTAGAGGTATGGAGACAGACTCTCGAGTCTAAGGGTTTCAAAATAAGCAGATCTAAGACTGAATACCTGGAGTGCAAGTTTAGCGCCGAGCCGAGCGACGTAGGCAGAGACGTGATGATTGGATCTCAGGTCATCACCAAGAGGGACAATGTCAGATATCTTGGGTCGGTGATGCAGGGGGACGGAGAGATTGACGGGGACGTCACTCATCGTATAGGAGCAGGGTGGTCAAAGTGGAGGCTTGCATCAGGAGTCCTGCGTGACAAGAAAGTTCCACTGAAACTCAAGGGGAAATTTTATAGAGCTGTGGTTAGACCTGCAATGTTGTATGGGGCGGAATGCTGGGCAGTGAAGAACTCTCATGTTCAGAGAATGAATGTAGCAGAGATGAGGATGCTCAGGTGGATGTGCGGGCACACCAGGTTAGATAAGATTAGGAATGAAGTTATTCGAGAGAAGGTGGGGGTGGCCCCGGTGGATGAGAAGATGCGAGAAGCGAGGCTGAGGTGGTTCGGGCATGTGCAGAGGAGAAGTCCTGATGCCCCGGTGAGGAGTTGTGAGCGGCTGGCGATTGTCGGCGTTCGGCGAGGCAGAGGGAGGCCTAAGAGGTATTGGGGTGAGGTGATTAGGAATGACATGGCTAGAATGCGGGTTTCCGAGGACATGACCCTTGATAGGAAAGTCCGGAGGTCTAGTATCAGGGTTGTAGGATAGGGGCTCATAGAGTTTTTAGTACTCCTCACCCGGGGTTGGGTGAGGCTTGACAGGGCTACCCATAGATGATTTTTGTTTTAGATTGAGTCTCTCTTATGGTAGTTATTTATGGTAGTTATTGAATGATATTATCGCATGCTATTTTATTTATGTTTCTTATGTGTAGATAACTATTTATGCAATTTTTGCTGCAGTTAATAATGCTCTTTTGTTTTTGTTTTTGTTTTTGTTTTTGTTTTTGTTGTGTTTTTGTTCTTCCTTTTCTTCACTGAGCCGAGGGTTGATTGGAAACAGCCTCTCTGCCCTTTCGGGCAGGGGTAAGGCTCGTCTACATATTACCCTCCCCAGACCCCACCTTGTGAGACTATACTGGGTAGTTGTTGTTGTTGTTGTTGTCTAGTATAACGTTGTATAATAAAATATAATGAAGGGATTAATGAGCGATGAATTCATACTACTGGTGAATTTTTTTTTCCATATCATTATAAATATTTGAAGTGATTTAATTTAACATTTACCTTTTGTCAAGTGACAACTACAAGAATTTAATGAATTATAAATTATTTGATGGAATTTAAAAAATAAATAAATTCATAAAAAGTAAAACAAAATAAAATTTTGTTGTATGTTTTGTTCGATTTTGATTAATATATTTAAAACACCAAGTTAAACGATTTAATTTCTTTTAAACAAACGAGTGAAAGTAAATGGAATTACAAATACCAAAAAAAAAACTAACTTGGATGCGATTCGTGTCAAACATATTAATTTATCATAATTAAATAATACTAGCTTCTAATAAATAAAAATACACTCCATTATTTCCAATATATGTCACACAATTTAGCTCGACACAAAGTTCGTAGAGAAATAAATACTTTTGAAACTTATGATTTTAAACATGTCATAATATTTTTATAATCATAAAAGATTCTTATTAAGAATAAAATAGTAAATTGTTTAAGTTAAAATATTTTTAAACAAACTAATAAGAAAATTGTATTACATATTGAAACATGAAGAGTAATTGGCAATAATTAAGAGTTATAAAACCATAAATACAACTATCCTTTTATTTTATTTTTCTCCTACCCGATACGTAATATCCATTTTGAGGTTCGATTAATTTGATTCGAACTGAAAAATCCCACCCTAAAAGATAAAGTGCTTCGTATCAAACAATGGCATACATAAAATTTTGTATCACTATTTACTAAAGTATATATATAGAGAGAAAGAGAGAGAAGCATTACAGGTTTATGTAGATCGACCATCTCAGCACATGGCCTCTTAAACTCCCCACTATTCGCCCCCTAACATTTAGATGATAAAATTCATTAACAGCTTAGAGTGGGTGGGTAACTTACTCTTTAAGCATTTGGCCTTCTCTTTCAATGGTGGACCTTTTTGGTTCTCCCGCACACGGTTGTCCTGGTTGATTGCCTGAGTCATTGTTGGGCTTAGCTTTATAGGTAAGTTCCTTGAGCCTTGATTTAAGGCTAGTCTTAAACTTACACCACACATTACCATGCTCCTTGGGTATAATGCGATAAGCATTTCTCCCCCAAGTCCTCTGATCACCTTTCGGCCTTCAAAGGAATGGTCGGAACTGTAAATCCTATTAGTTCCTCCTGTTGAAGGAGCATTGCCTTTGTTTTGGGGACCCCCAGCTTTGCTATCAGTTCCCCCAGCTCTGTGTTGGAAGCTTGTAGGTAATCGTGGACCTTTTTCGTCCCTGCCATATGTGTTGCCATTGATAGTGGGGTTATAATTTATACTGGTGTCCACGGGGAAGAAGGGTGGGCGTGGAATCTTCTCCCCTGGTGAGACTAGCGAGAAGAAATAAAGGGTGTGGTTTATCTGGTCCATGAGTAGACTCAGTTGATTGGTCGCCATTATTTGTTGGCTCAGTGCTAGTTGGACTTGTATCAAGGTTGCTAGCCATAATTACTGCCCGAGATTCATCATTGCATGGTTGAGGCATGTTGTGACAACTTTGGCCAAGTTGTGGAGGTACTGGATGGCCATTGTGATGGGAATTGACCCTATTGTGAAGGTTAGACCGTTAGATGAAAGGTTGTTCCCTGAATAACTATTTCCAGCTATGAGGTTAGGAAATGGTTCGATGAAAGAGATGCAAACATCTCAAGGAGGGGCAATAGTTCACTTAAAGAGGTTAATTCTTTATCTCTTTTATCAATATTGGCAACTTTCAGTGGCTTCAGCAATACAGCCATGTGGAAGCTGATTTCTTAAACCAGTCTATCTCTGATCATACTCCTCTTTTTATAAAGTTTGGAAGGCAAAGTCTTCTTCATCCTAAACCTTTCAGGCTTTACAACTCTGTGATGGAGGATTCTCAATTCAAAAAT